AGCAGTTATCAAGAAGGGACAGCAAAGGCCAATCACAACAGTTAGAAACAGGAGTGTATTCTAGATGTTACAAAACTGCCAAGAGCATCAGTCTCTTACAACATGCTGTAATAAGTATCATTCATAGTGACATTTAGTTAAGGGAAGAATGATATATTTTGTTAAAGAGCATCTTCCATCAAAAAGATTTTTGGGGAAAAAACATAATAAATACAGATTAATCTTTAGCTATTGCATTTAGCTATACCAACCTGCAAAAGAATGCAGAATAACTGAGAAACTATCATAATTACCTTTCTGAGTATGGTCAAATTACCAAAAAAAATTGGTAAACTTACACCTAGTATCTGACTTATAAATATTAAATGTTTACATCACATATCTTACAGAATATTACCAAAAGTTATGGGAGCCGCTCAGCTACGCTATGCACTTGGCACTTAGGGTATAAAAATGCCGGGTGCGGTGGCTCAAGCCTGTAATCCCAGCACTTTGGGAGGCCGAGGCGGGTGGATCACGAGGTCGAGAGATCGAGACCATCCTGGTCAACATGGTGAAACCCCGTCTCTACTAAAAATACAAAACATTAGCTGGGCCTGGTGGCGCGTGCCTGTAATCCCAGCTACTCAGGAGGCTGAGGCAGGAGAATTGCCTGAACCCAGGAGGTGGAGGTTGCGGTGAGCCGAGATTGCGCCATTGCCCTCCAGCCTGGGTAACAAGAGCGAAACTCCGTCTCAAAAAAAAAAAAAAAAAAAAAAAATGCTTAAGAAATGACCTCTAGCTTCTGGCAGTTTATAAATTTTAAAAAATATATTTGATAGTGATTAAGCCTACATTTATTGAGTAGTGGTAGAATTTCATGTATATTTTAGCACAGGAAAAGAGACAAAGGTTTAGATTAGAATTAAGAAGCTTAATTAAAGAGAGCTTAGTATTGAGATCAGAGATTTTAAAATCTGGTAAAAACTGAAACGTCCTCCCCATCCTTATAAAAATACATACACATCAGACTGTACACAAGGTTTCAGGGATGTTGCATTATTTCCTGACAGCCAAGCCATCAACTGTGCTCAAAATAATCATAACCTGACCACACTGCATTACTGTACAATGCATTTGACCACACTGCATCACTGTGCATTACTATCACATTAGAGATAAAGTGGTACAGATAAAGTTCGTCTTTTTTACAGATAACTCAATTTAAGAATTTCAATATTTATGTGTGCAGAATTTATGGTTGTTATTGAGAGGCTACAATAAGTAGAATGGAGAGAAACACATCTTGCCAAATTTTCTCTAACAAGTAAGAAGGCATCAATTTTTCTAAGCAAGAAAGAGATAACAGTTTTAAAAAGTAACCTGATAGTGCAAAGAACATACTGAAGAAGACGATGACCTATTCAGAAGTCATCTGAATAGGTTAAAATTCAGGGTTCTCAAATCATTTCTGAGCTATATAATTCCTTTCTCCAGCCTCAATCCTGGAGAATACTCTCCAGTGACTAATCCCTGCTATGGAAACCATCATGAGGATTCTGCTAGGGTGAATACGTTTATCACTGGCAGTAAAGTGGATCACAGTTGCAGAGGAAACAAGGCAGAGGGAGAATGGAAATACCTGGCCAGAGGGCAGACTGCGTATTCAAAGGCCCCAGAAAATGAGAAAAGACTAAGGAAAGGCCAGGTTAAAAATGTCTGAGGAAGAGATTATCTTGATCCTACCCAAAAATCCAGACTATGAAGAACCAAGTGAGCAAGAAAGAGTTTCTGCAGCAGTTTACTTTTTTATTTTAAAGAACTATCACTTAATGCTACACACACACACACACACACACACACACACACACACACACACGCACACTCTGTCGGTCTCTCTCTCTCTCTGTCTCCCTCTCTCTCTATAGTTTACTTGACCACCAAGTTATAAGTTATACAGCTATAATTTTAATGTACATTTTGGTGCTATGAAACCATAGCATAAGAAAAGTTTATGTAAGCTCTAGCTTAAATATCTCTTTTTTTCTTTTTTTTTTTTTGAGACACAGTCTCACTCCGTTGCCCAGGCTGAAGTGCAGTGGTAAAATCTTGGCTCACTGCAACCTCCGCCTCCTGGGTTCAAGCGATTCTCTTGCTTCAGCCTTCCGAGTAGCTGAAGGCTGAAGCACCACACCCACATAATTTTTTGTATTTTTAGTAGAGACGGGGTTTCACCAAGTTGGTCAGGTTGGTCTCGAACTCCTGATCCCGTGCTGCCATCTTATATCCTTATTACAAATACTCAGTGAAGAAGATACTTTCCTTTAGATGTTTCCTGAATCTAACTAGTAGCACATACACAATGTTCACGCTCATTTCCCTGAATTATTCTTTATACACGGAAAGGCTAGTGTAACAGATATTCTCTGCATTTACGTTTAGGTGGCATTTCCCTCCCTGCACCGCCCCATATTCTCATCTGATCAACTTTAACGTCTTTTGTCTTAATTTCCACTTCATATATATGATTTAATATTAGGATGTAAGTTGTAATAAGTTATCCTTTACTTAAAGTTTGAATTTGACATTTTCAGATTACCTTGTGACAGTTCAAATTGTGCAAAAGATATATGAACAAAAGCAAATTTCTTGCAGTTTGCTCTGGCCATTTGAAAGTAGTCACGTGCATCATCTGGTTCTTGAATACTGTAATAAAAGATTGTGTCAAAATTTAAGAAAAATAACGTAGCTACTTAAATTTGATAATGCTTCATTCAGTTTTCCAAAAGACATGGGGTATTGCTTTTTTCTGTGGATAAAATTAAATACTAATAAGTTATTTTTTCAAAATCTTTTTAGGCAGTTTAAAATATAAGTAAACTTTTGTGGAAACATGTACATAGTAAAGAGTTTACATCAGTCACTTATTAATTATAAGCAAAAGTATTTGGTTAAAAAATATTAATTTTCTTACAAGTAATACCGAAATGCTTTTATTTTCTCTCTTTGCAATGCAGTTACATACTACATAACAGTTAAACATAGTTAAAATGCTAATACTTACGCTTTTAATTCAGCAAATCTGACTTGAATCCTAGCAAAACTCTCATTTTGGCCATATTTATCTGGAGGAAGCGCTTCAATTGCTTGACTGTAACGACCAATCAATTTATTTAAAAGAATATCACTTAGAGGAACACTGTTTTTCTCTAGTTTGAGCAACAAATTCAACCAGTCCTCTGGGTTGTTTGCCATCATCATAATTTGGTTAACAGTTCCCGAGTTATCTAAATAAGAGGAACAAAATATATCACAACAGAAGACATAAAACAAATGCCAAATTGCATTTTTCCTTCAAAATATAGCCAACCATTTATACTCTTACTATCAATGTACATAAAGTCCTTGTAATACTTTTTAAAATTGTAAAAATTCATATAAGTAACTTATTTACTATCTATCTTTTATGAAGGCATATTTTATCCAAAAGCTACATATTTTGATGGGAAGAAAAAAAATTGAAAGTGTTTTTTAAGTAGCCTTTAAAAATCGTATATAGTTTAAGAAAATCTTATGCTGTTGCAGGATAATTAGAATTTTAGCATCTTATCTATCCAAAGAAAACTAAGTTTCTCCCACCACAACCTGTACTAACTTTCCTAGAAATTTCTCCCATCAATGACTTATTCATTAAACTTACTGCTCCAGTCCTAACATAACCTTCATTACAACCTTACCCATCGAACACTATTTCTGTCTCATACTTACTTGTAAAGCAATCAAACCAGCTTTATAAAAAATAAACAACTGTTATGATCATTTTCTTCTCTCCAGGTAACCTAAATTTCTCCTAGAGCCCTGATAATTTCTTGGTCCAACAAACTCACAGCTACCACAGTCTAGAGCGTTGGAATTTATTGGACCTCTTGTGACTGTCAGGTTTCTCTCTGTGGAATCCCCACCTACAGAAGCAGCAAGGATAATCTTCAGACATAATTTTCACACTGCAATATGCTTTTTACTCTCTTCAGTATTCATTTCTTAAAAAGACAACTTGAATGTCAGTCTTCTGTTCAGGATATTTTGATTATTACTAAGCATTATTAAATTCATATTTCCAGAGAAGCTATCATTCCTTCTATCAACTTCAGTCACCATCAGCAAAGGCCACAACTTTACTTTTATAAATAAAATTTGTTTCTGCCTTCTACTAAAATATAGTGCATGCACAATTTTGCTTTACCATCTTAAATTTAATTTGGTCTGATCTTAACTTAATTTTCTAGTTTTATCTCCTATTGCTTTCCTAAGAAATTAGTCTGTGAAATAGACTAAAGAGAAGAAACAGAAATAGACTAAAGTGAAGAGACTTAAAGGGTTACTAAAAAATCGGTGTTGAATGACATCAGTCTTGGAATGTAAGCAACTTGACAGTCATTTTTAAATTTGGTCTAAGCACGGTAATAGAAAAACCTATTTCAAAATTATCATTTATGCTGCTTATTCAGTAATAAAAATGTTAGCTCATCCCACCTATAAATACAAAATAGTTCAAGAATACAATTCCTATCTTGAGGACATTTCTATCAGTATTCAAGAAAGACCATCTAGAAATCTGTGTCAGATCTGACACCTCAGCTGACGAAATTTGTGGGTTTTGAAGAAAACAGATCTTCAAGTGAAGTACTGGTTTCGTACTTAGGCTATGGAGAAAATTTTTAAATTTTCATGGAAGTATATATTCATGAGGAAAAGATCTGCAGTATTAAGCAACTCCTTGTGGGCAGGGAGGTACCTAGGATTAATCACTAAATATAATGCTCTTAATGCATAAAATTTCTATGTTTATTTTATAGGCTCACAAACTTAAAAGTGCATGGTTGAAAATTAGATTAATGTAAAAAATAGGATACTGAATGGTGATAGTGTTTATGTGACTATTCGGAGGTCATTTTATACAAATTAAATTGTTGGTATGCCATAAGCAATATAACTTGGATTAGTGTTCACTGAGTCAGCTTGAAATAGTTCAAGTGTATGTTTCATCATCTCAACACCCTGGCATAGAGGGGCTCAATAGACAGTGAAATTTTACTGTGGATGTATACTGGTAGGCCACTACAATCTGATGCTTCCTACAATTTACTCCAATGAAAATGTTCATACAAAATTTTTTGAACGGAACTCTTAATACATTACCAAAGCAAAGTTCTGATTTTTTTCTCACTTTTAATGGTTAGAGAGGATCTTTATAAGAAGCCTGTAATATCCCCTAGTATTATGTACATTTTTTTCTGGGGAGGGATTTGGGTTTTCATCTTTGAATTAGGGACTGAGTCACCCCTTTAAAAAATAGCAATTTAGTGAAACAACATATGGGAAGATCTATAACTCAGGTATAAGAAAGATGGTTATATGTAACTTCCTTTCAAGATGAGAAAGAAAAATGTTGAGGCTGAGACCAAATAATGCCCCTTTTCATTTAATCCACTGTAGCTGAAAATCATCAAGCACAATAACTGATTTTAGAAAAGACCAACAGGAAATTTTGTAGGACAAAATATTGGCCCTGTCTAATGCAAAAGAGGCAAAGGTCGGGGGTGCAGGGGAAGAGAGACAAATAAATATAGGTGAAATCTTAAAAAAAATAATTAAAATATGTTGAATATTAATAAAGTTTTACACATTTCCAGTCTCAGAACTGTGAAGCTTTAAAGTGCATTAAGAGAATTGCAGGCACCATCAAATACCAAATTGACAGAATTCAGAAGAATAAAACAATCTGAAGCCTTATTTTTAAGAAGGCCTTTAAAAGATTAGGCAAATGTGTGTTAGCTCTGCTATCTGGCCTTTTAATGAAGTTAAGAGTTACATGATTTTTAGGCATGCTCTGTTGAAAATTCCTTTTGAATAACAATGGAGAAAGAAATATATAACTTGCAATTTCTGTGAGTTGAATATGTAGAAGATAAAACTGGTACAAATACTGACTGAAAACCGCTTAAGAAGAGCTGACTGGCTACCTTGTATACAACATCATAACATTCGTTGTAGGTACTTTCATACATAAAAATTTACTTAGTTCAGGAGACTCAGGGCAAGTTAGATGAGCATCTCTGAATGAGCAATGCATGACAGGAATCACAAACCCATACTGGTTTTGGTGAAGAAGGCAAAGGTAGTTCGTTGTCAGAGCAGGCATTACAGAAAATTTCCCCACAGTTTCTACAGTGTTGCTTTCTCTTAGAGAGTGAGAATTCCTTTTCACAAAGTTTACAATGTGTTGCTTCTTTGTCTTTCAGCCAAACCAGTCCTTGCAATGCTTTGTTGGCTTCTTTTATGTCTTTAATTTTAAGTTTTGATTCACTAAGTTTGTTGCCGAGTTCTTGAAGAGCTTGCTCTTGTTCGTGACATATTTTTTTCAACTGCTGATTTTCATCCTGGAGATTAAGGAACTCTTTTTTAAGACTAATCATTTGTTGAGTCTCATTTCTACGATGAGATAAGGCATCTTTCTCCTTTTGAAGATCTTCCTGCAAAGTCTGCCTCCATTCCTTCTCAATCTTCAAGTCAGTTTCCAATTGCACCAGCTGTTTCTCCTTTTGGGAGATTTGTTTCTGCAAACTGTCAGATTTACAGAGACATTCTTGTAGATATTTTTCGTCCTCATCTTCAGCTTCCATTTGCGCCTTCTCTGCTTGCTACAATCTTTGTTCCAGCTGCCTCATGGCTGCAGTAATTTTATTGGTTTTTTCTTCTAGTCGGGCAATTATTTCATTTTTTTCTTTCAAGCCATCTTCAGAACCCTGCAACTTTTGATACATCTCTATGTTTAATTGCTTTAACTTCCTCTAGTTGTTGTCGAAGACCTATTAGAGTATCTCGTTTCTCATGGATATCTTTCTCCAGCAACTTCATGGCAAGTTCAGTCTCTTGCTTCATGCTAACTTGTACTGCAAGCTCATTCTCCACATCCTGTCGTAACTGAGATTCTTCTTGAAGCTGTCTTCTGGCTTCATTATACATTTCATCTAGCCCCTGACAAGGATGCTTATATGTTTGTTTCCACATCTACTTTGGTAACCTCTAGGTTCATATTACAGAAATACAGTCTATTTCTGTAACAGTACAGAAATAGTCTGTAGAAATACAAATTGCCATCCGTAGCTTTGCAGATGCATTCCTCATGCCTGAATACCCTAGTCTTCCTCTAATCAACAAATATAACATTTGTGTTTTATCATGCTAGTATTCCTATGATGCCCAGCATGCATTACAATGTAGCATAGTGAAAATATAAATTCTCATCTAGAAAGAAACTATGGTTTTAAGCATCTCTGAATCTTCCTCAATACTTAAAATACTCAATTGCCTTGATGTACAATCTTTGTTAGGGTGACACAATTAAGTACAATTATACTCTATTAACACTCTGCTTAACACCGAAACTATCTAGTTTTTTTCAAAGTGAACATAGTCTGCCACCATAACTAGATCACAGGTTCTTCCATTTATTTTCAATTCCTCATCTATTTAATGGTTAGCATATATATAACAAAATTATCCAAATGTCACCATTTAAATGACTGCAACCATGTGAACTACAGTAAAGAACCTGGCTTCAGAGCTAATACTTTTAGCAGAGCTAGAGTACTATACTCCGGACACTTTCACCCATTAATCATTGTTCAATAAACGTTTATGTACCTACCATGTGCCAGAGACCATTCAAAGTTCTGTGGATTTAACAGATAAAAACCCTGCCCTCACGTAGCCTACGTTCTAGTGGAGGAGAAAGACAATAAACACATGAGTAAATTGTAAACTAAGTGATTAGTACTATTTCTTTACCTTACAGGATACTCAACGGTTACTAAAAGGAAAAGAAAAACTCACCTGTAGTATCAGCAGAAATTTTACTCAAGCTTAGCTCATCAGTAAGGTCTTCATTTTTAAACTTATTTTTAATGTCTCTCACTTTGTTCATTATGGAATCAATTGTCAATTCTCTGCCACTTAAATCCTCAGACTCCATTTCTAAGAAAAAAAACTGAACTAGTCATAATTCCTATTTTAACTAGCATCAAAGCAAAAAAAAAAAAAAAAAAAAAAAATGCACGTTTCAGAACCCAGAAGACTAAAGCATTAGTTTTGTGAACACACCTAAACGCAGCGATTATTAGGCTAGTATTAATGGAGCTAAATGCACAACAAGGTACACATCTTTGTAATTTGTTCAGCAAAGTTTCATAGGCCAAGTACACTTTTTTCTCCAATATAACATCAATGACACCACACTCTAGAAATCACTCTAGAAATCTGTAAGCTTAAGTCATTAAAAAAAATATGATGGATTGTATGCTTGGATTCTCGTAGTGACATACACATAAAGATTGCTTGGATTCTGGCAGCGACATAGATAAAGAATTCGTTTGGCAATGGAAATAAGAATTCCTTTATTCGTCTGCTTCACTTGAGTAAATCCTCACAGTGAGAGTGCTTTCAAAGCAGACTATGAACATTATGGGACTTTACTGATAATTAGGATATCCGCAGGTTTATTCTTGTGCATATCTGGCAGAATCATGATTTGCTACCTTAATCCAATACCAAGAAACTACGGTACTCGTACTGAGCACTTGCTTATCTGTATGGTGTTGTTTGTGCAATAAACTGTATGCAGTCTTCCTGTTAATCTATCTTTGTGACTCTCAAAGACAGAATGAGAGTGACTGCCCCGTCTTCAGGTTTAACAATTTTAAAAAGCCGTAATGTTTCAGCAAGCGATACCACTCCACCTCTGAAGTCAAGTTTGAAAGGTAACTGTCAGATCACGGCCACCCTCTCCTTTCCCAGTTTTAACCCGCAAACAAAAGAGACTCTCTTGAAAACGATCTTGTGCGCAAGTACTCCACCACCCCTCCTTTCCAGCGTGGACCACACCCACTTCTTCCTCAAGAAAACCTCCTGCACCGCCCCACCCGCCAGACCCGCGGAGGCAGCGCGACCTCCCCTCCTCCTCCAGCTCGTTTAGCCGCGTCACGTACCTGGCTCCGAGCTGCTCCCCGCCCCTCACCGACCAGCGCTGATAATGATCCCATACACCGGCTGCGGCAGTTCCTCCGTGCGCCGGTGACACAGAACTTACCTACAGTAAGCGGAGCTGGGGATACGAAGAGATGGAACCCAAACTCCTTTCCGCAAACGTTTGAATTTCCCCGTCGTTATCACTACGGCCTCCTATTGGTCAATGCGAGTCACGTGGAAGCGTCTAGTAGTGATTGGTTCGTGCCCGCCGGGCCGCCCCTCCTCCTGCGTCTGGCAAGCTTCGCCCCGGAAGAGCCAGCGGCCCTGGCCCCACCCGTGCGGCGCTTGGGAGGGTGCAGGTACCCTGCAGGCGTTCCCCGGACGCCGGTCGGCGGGCTTTCCTGCACTTTCCAGGTTTAACCAGGCTAAATTTTTGCCTGGGAGGTAGTCACTCCCGGGCAAACGTCTCTGGTGAGAGGAATACAGGGGCGCGGGAGGCTGCTTCCAGCATCAGAACCTAAAAGATGCACCTTGGGCCTGCCCCTTACTGACCCCACCGCCACCATTCTCCTTCGTTCCCCGCGATCCTCACAGCCTGGCAAGAAAGGATCTTTCACAGAGCTAGGTTCGGCCCTGCCGCCAGCTCAAGAATTTCAGTGCTTTTTATCCGAGCTTCCGCTTATGCCCTTCTACTATCCTTAAATGACTCCTCGCTCTGTCTTCAAGCCAAGACCCTCCCTTTTGTCAAAATTCTGAGCAGAACTCACACGCCCATCATGATTGCCCTGCCTGAACTCGCCTTATCAGCCCCCCTCCCTCCGAGCCTGCCCCACTTAAGGGCTCAGGTGTCCTCGGGGTAAAAACATCTCCCTAGTAATCTTCGCCGGTGCGAGGCTCTGCCGCTAAGTGGCTTTGTGGTCCAGGGCAACGGTTACTCCTCGTCTGCAAAACGAAAGGGGATGTGTCTGTTGTGCCAACCATTAGAGTATTTAAGAATCCTATTGTATTTAACACATTTGTATACTTCTTGCAATACAATTGTTCATTTGGCTTAAAATCAGCTGCATCTGACAGTGAATAGACTTGTTCATAGAGTGAAGCCCTTCACAAAGCAATAAAATTAGCCATAAGATTATGACTTATTTTAAGATTATAAGTTTCCCATTTTTATCATATAAATGAATGGTTGTCATTATCATCATGTTTAACTTTGTCATTATCATCATTTCACATTTTTGCTAATCTTTGATTTTTCTGTCAGCACAGCTGCCTTATTTATGTATTTATATATTTATTTTAATCCCCTCCAAGGAATTTCTTATTCAATTATTGAGGCCATTGTTATACAAGCTCTCTAAGGCCCAAACTTTGATTTAAGATATTATTATACATGGATTTACTTTGTATATAGGCAAAAGTTAAATTTCTGATCAATAATAAACTCAGTTCTTACAGCATGCAATCAGTTGTGTGCTGCTTTATGGTGATTTATTCTAGATAAAACATTACTAGTGTATGCTGATTTTAGTGCATTTAGGAGTGATGTGAGCCCATAAGAATGTTGAGACTTGTATAAATACTGTTAGGAAAGCTAACTATCACAGAATGAACCAAGACATGCCGAAAAGAAAAGAAAAATGCCACAGAGAGCTAACAGCGTACCTCATAAACAAAGAAAAACAGCAATGGCAGCTTAGATTACGCTCTACAAAGGAAGGCAGCAGTGACAAGTTAGGAACATTGCTTGGACATCAAGTATTATTTAATTTGCAGGCAACAAACTATGCTAACAAATAACAGAAGAAAAGTAGGATTCTCAGTTCCTTTTTTTCTTTTTTCTCCAATATGAAGAATAGTAGTAAGACAGACAGTCTTAAAAATAAATATAGGACAGGTTATATAAGAAAAACATTTAAATTCCATCTAAATTTTGTGACAGGAATTTTTTTTTCCTTTTTTGAGATAGGATCTGGCTCTGTCACCCAGGCTGCAGTGCAGTGGTGTGATCTTGGCTCACTGCAACTTCTACCTCCTGAACTCAAGCCATCCTTCTACCTGAGACTCCCACATAACTGGTACTACAGGTGCATGCCACCACACTGGACTAATTATTGTATTTTCTGTTGAGACAGGGGTTCGCCATGTTGCCCAGCCTGGTCTCAAACTCGTGAGCTCAAGCAGTGCACCCACCTTGCCCTCCCAAAGTGTGGGGAGGACTTGTAATGGTCTGTGACTACAGTCACACCTGGCCATAATTTTTTAAAAATTTATCCATATGTTTTCATTCTATGGAATATAGAGTCTCACATAATTGGTTAATATACCAAAATATCCTGAAGAAAATAAGCAGGATATTGAAAAATGTACAATATAACCCCTGAAACATTGTTGGCAATCTCTGAAAAGTCATAATAAGTAGAAAGTCATAATAAGATAGCCAGAAATGGACAAGTGTTACCTTTTTGGAAAAGGTAGAATTTGGAAGCTATTAATTTATATAATCTCAATGCAGATTTTAGACCAGTTCTGGAATCAATTACAGAACTGTTTGGAAGTAAAGATCTCTAGACACCAACATGAATTCATTAAGAGCAGGCCATATAGAACATACTAAGTTCTGTATTTTGATTGTTTCTATATTTAGAAAAGGGAAGGCCATAAATACAGAATATCTTCACTTTGGCAAATAAAATGATAAAGACTCTCTTACTGCTTTTGTGGAAGAAAGGAGCAAGTAATTCCCATACTGTTAATATGAAGTAGTTCTGCAACTCTGGATCATTTTTCTCAAAAGATCATTTGTTAATGGTTTGAGAAGAACTTCAGGTTGATCCCTAGTAGAAGGCCTCAGAACTCTGTCTCTGGTTTTATTCTAAACTACATATCTTATCTGTATGACAAACATATAAAAATAATGCTTAACTTTTCATATTAATTAAAACAAAAAAGACAAAATTAGAGATACTTTAAAAGAACAAAATTCATCATATGCAATTCATAGAGATAAATGTAAGTCTGTACATTTAGATTTATGAAACTAATAAAATTCTTAAATACTGAGTGAGAGTC